CTGCTGAACCGAAGGATAATGAAGCTTCGGTCAGTAACAGAGACAAGAAGAAAAGGAAGATCGGTGAAGATGACACTGATGACGAAGAAAATGTTTTTGAAGAAAATCCCGAAAAGCCTTATCAGAAAACAAAATCTACTGATAAAGAGCCTCAAGAAAAGGTCAAGAAGCAAATGGCTGACCTAGAAAAGAAGCAAAAAGAGAAGGAGCTTTTGGAAAAGAAGAAGTCCATTTTTCTTGAATGGACTATTGACTCGCTTCAAAGAAGCGCCATTGACGAACCGAGTACTCATTGACTAGAACCTGTAATGTCATTCGGCCTTGAAAACTCGAAGGACGCTCAATTTGATATGCCAATCACTCGAAAGGCATTTATCTTCCATTGCTTCAACTCCACTGTTCCTATTCCTTCTCCAGACCCGAAGGTGGATCGAGATCTGTTGCAGTTCTACCTAGAGTTCGCTCAACCTCAGTACTTGACCTGGAGTTCGCAGAAAATCACAACTGTCAAGGTTCTGAAGCCCTACTCAGCCGGGAAGTTTGTGAATGTCAAGTTCAGAGTGACTCGAGGATCTGAAGGCTCGGTTCACCACTTCACTCTTGCTGATCTACCGAACCTCAACCCCCACGACTGGATACTCCTCAGCAATATCTTGCTGTCAAATCCACAGGAGTATCAGCCGATCATTGACCATGTCAAGCGAATGCTTGTATGCTACATTCACGAAGTAGCAAAAATGGACCAAGAGATCGCCTCTGCTATTCACAAGCGAACCACGATCAAACCAATGGGCAGAGCAGGCGATGTCAATACGATGGTCAAGGGAAAAATTGATTCAAAGTATCACACAGTGATGTTTATCAGGGGCGAAGGTCAGAAATGTCTATTTGCTCTTGTTGACAAACACCTCTTCTCAACTGCTTGCTTGGAGCACATTTTGGAGATTATTCAGAGGTGTAGTCAGAACACTGCAGCCGACAAGAAGTTGTTTACTGATATGCTGAGATGGTACATTCAATTTCGGCAGACACTTCTTGCAATCATCCCTCGGCTGTTCAAGGTTGTCAAGACTGTGAAGCCCACTCAAAGAAAATGATCTCTCACCTCATTTGACGCAAAGGGGGGGGAGGGAACTGTTGGGCTTATAGTGTTGCGTCATGGGCTCGGTCCTTAGCCCAGTTTTGGTTGCCGGTTTGGGCCTGTCCAACCGTGCATGTTTTATTCTAGGGTTTAGTATTTAAGCTGCATGCATGCAATCTTTGTAATAAACGCCTTCATTATTTTTCTCATTGAGTTTTGAAAACCCTAGCTCGCCTCTACAGTGGAAGTTCTTCATCGAGCTCTGCTGAGGCGTGACTATATTTGAATCATAAGCATAACGTTGATTCTATACTATGCTCATATCATTTTTGTGTTTGTTTCGTTTGATCTTCATATTTTTCCTGTAAAAGATCTAATCGATCTGAGATTCATTCTCAATATATATATATATATATATATATATATATATATATATATATATATATATATAAGATTATATAAATAGTTTCAAACCAACAAGATAAACTATAATCGGTATAGTTTGGAAGTTACAAACCACACTTTTCAAAAATACAAATAATTATTTAAAGGCATAATTATCTTATTTGGCAAGTAAAAAGGGAGTCATAGTTCACGTAAATTTGTTAAGGCTCTTGTGAGACTCTCCTTCACCGTACCTACGTAGCGTACATCGTAACTCCTGTAGTTATAACCAAAGTCTCCTGGAGGGAGAGCGAGGTAATTGTGTATAGATCTATACAGGGTTGACACCCTACACCTGAGATGTTCGCTACAGCTAGACGGGCCAGTCTAGGGTGACAAGTATATTTAGAAACCGATGCCTGAAGAACATCAAGACAGGCGTGTTAGTCATATTAGTATGGTTATAACGACTAACATAGAGAATAACAACATTATTTGAATTTACGAAGAATTTACACTCTACTAGCTTTACAAAACACAAAACTATGTTTCACTTACTTTGTAAACTGATTTCACCACTCTGGTCTTAGGGTTTTAAGACCACAACTCTTTTATATACAGAAAATATAGGATTTTCTGGGAACACACTCTTTCTAATACAAACAAAGAAAAACAAAGAACATGCATGCAACTATACACGGTTTTGGAACGAGACTCACAAACTACTTTTTATAGAAAATATTGGATTTTCTGGAGTTTTACAACTTATTATAAGAAAAGATATTACAAAGTTTTTCCTACAAATATGCTTATAAACTCACCAACATTCTATGTTGACGCTTTTCAAATCGACTTGTATTTTCAGGGACTCAGTGAACAGGTACTCGAGCCTTGGATCTGGATTATTTTACTACCTTTTGAGCAACCATACTTTATGTTATTTTTGTGTAATTGATAAACAAGTACAATTTGTAAAACAATGAAGGTTGATATATTGTAATGTATGATGTTTGGTTGCTATGTTTCATTAATATTCAATTGTTATGATACTACACAATGAAGTCATCCGCCCCTAGACGTTTCCGCCGTTATGGTATGGGGGTGTGACAACATCCATTTTTTTACCACAAAAATTTTCATTTTTAATATAGAAAACCCCCCAGTGTTATAAAAACCAAGACAATAAAATATCAGGTATATCAAGTGCAATCATCCCAAATCAGAGTATCAAAATGTGAAATCATAAAATCTGCAGGCCGAAGTGTATAGTTAAGTCTTCGCCTTTCTGTGATCATCAGAAGTACCTAAAACACATTTAATCTACAACTATAAGCAACAAAGCTCAGTGAGTCCTTCCCAAAATATCCATACAACACATCATAATAAACAACTATGTGTTATTAGCAACTTTCGGGATTATCCGCAATCCCAGTGGGCTAACAGCACGCCCTATGGATTAACAACACATTTTAGGGGTTATCAGCAACCCTGAGGATTCTCAAAATCCCAAAGTTATTAGCAATTCAATTCAAATATAACAACAATCAACAATTAAGCCACAGCTGGTCACATACATAAATACCACACATGTAAATATAGTGAGAAGACTCACCTCGCAGACAACAATTAACCACAACAACTCACACAGAGTAGACAGGCACACCAAGTCACCTAACAGGAATATAGAAATACATCTTTCAGTCTATACTCTAAAACCTGATTTTAACCATAACTTGACCAATGTCAAAGTCAAAGATCAACCCTCATATGCTTTGTGCATAAGCTGTTCTATGCATAGCGTAGAGCTCTAGATAGAAACATGCCAAAACCAAGCTACACCCAACGTAGAGGAATTTACGCCACGCTTAGCCGACTGATTGTCAAAATTTCCATTAAGCTCTTAATATAGAAAGTTAGCTCCTCAAAACCTCCATATACGAACCAAAGGAACGTCCTAATGGATAAAGTCTCTAACTTTATCCATTTGCATTCCATCAATGAGCAATAAAACCAAACCCTAAGTCCATGAAGTACTATAATGCTCAAGATCTCATGCATGGGGTAGATGGGAGTGATCAAACTCTTATTTTTATGATTCAACAACCCCAAGAACATCATGAAACGGTCTTCAAATGGTCTGGAGTAATGCATACTTATAAGAACCAAAGTTATAGGATAAAAAGCATATAAATCCATGACTAAAAGATCTAGCATGTAAAAAAACACCAAGATGGGAACTTTATATCTTTTGGAGGTGGAAAACAAGATAGAGGATCTGGATCTACAAGGCTTGGAGCTCCTAAATGCTTCTCCAGTGGTCTTCTCCTGCAAAGGTGCACATAAGAACACTTTAAGACCTCAAGATTCTCACAAAATGGTTAGGGTTTCGAAGGGACTGGATTGGAGGATGGAGGTTGGGTATGAAGAGGCCCTCAAGGAGTTAGAGCTTTTAAATAGGCTCACAACCCCGAGAATTATGTTTTTGATCCTGCGCACTACGCATTGCGTAGCTCAACTTACGCCTAACATAAGTCTTTAAGTCCCCGCATGAAGTCTTCCTCCTACGCTCAACATAGGAGGCTATCCTACGCCCCGCGTAGGACATAAAAATGCAAATAAATCCAATTTTACGCCTTTCTCTTTCACATCTGAACTACCTGAAAAACATTTAACTTAACAATGTAAGCATAAAACGTAGTGAGCTCTCCAATATACGACATATTCAAAAACACATACAATACATATAAACAATGGTTTGTGACCTTGCGTCGTTCTGCTTGACTCATAGCGTAGCGTCGTTTCCGTCATCAACATTTGACTTGCAACATTGCGTCGTTCCTTTATCACCAGTTGACTCATAGACTTGCACTGTCTCGTTAACGACTCTAGGTATCTAGGCTAACCACCTAGCATCGTTCCTCCATCAACCCCTAAAAAACGATAGTAGACTCACAGCCTTGCGCCGTTCCGTTAATGACTTTGGGTATCTAGGTTTGCAACCTTATGTCGTCTCGTCAACAACTCTAGGTATCAAGGCTCGCAACCTAGCGTCATTCCGCCATCAACCCCTCACACATGATACATGATAGTTGACTCACATGAACTATATTGCTTTGAGTTTTGGGAACGTTAAATCATACTCAAAAGTAATAGAATAAACAATGAATCCAATCCTTCTCAAATCAGTTTTTAAAATCGATCACTTATCAAAGTCTTATCTTATTCAATAACAAATTCAATTATAAACCCACTTTACATTTTTTCTCCCTTACACCAAAAACCCTAGCAAAATCATTGATATTATATATAGAGATCTCAAACAAAGAAGAACCACAATTCTTCTTTTAAAAACTACTTCAATCAACTTTCTTTTAGATTAACGTTTGAATTGTAAATAGGGTATGATAGTAAATGGATAAATATAAGAATTTGAAAAGATATAAAACTTAAAAAATGTTTAATTAAAGATATGGATAAATATGTTATTTTGAAGTTTAAAGGGGTAAATACGAAGTTTTGATTTTTTAGCATTCTCTTTCAAGCACTCTTATTTATCGATTTTCTCACGGCTGGTACAAATCGGTTCGCTTCAGAGGTGGTAGATTGCAGTATCGCACACACAAACCCTAACAGGAAACCCTAGATCGTCCCGCGAGGAGATACAAAAATGTCGCATTTTGGTAGAGCAGGTCCTCCAGATATCACAGATACCTATTCGCTTCTCGTGCTTAACATCACTTTCCGTAAGTTGATACTAATTTTGTCTTCTGATTTATACAAACCCGATATTCTGGTAAAAGAAAATTATCTATCCTAATTTTGTTTTCAGGTACTACTGCTGATGATTTGTTCCCGCTTTTTGATAAATATGGGAAAGTGGTTGATGTTTTCATCCCTAGAGATCGCAGGTACGAATTTCCCCTCAATTTGATTTACAATTTCACGAGCGATGTTAGGTGGCGTTGGCATTTGTGTAGTAATCGAATCGTTATGAATGTGTTATTGTTTAGAGATTTTGTTGTTTATAAGTTTCATACCCAGATCATGGATAGGAAAATTGTTCCATTTCGAATTCTCTGTTAAAAAAACAAAATAGATAGAGTAGTTATCAGCTCTTACATCGAAATTATGGGAAGCTCCAAGAAGATCTAATTTTTACCTAAGTACCTGATGGCTAAAAAGTATGATCTATAATATCGACATCGATTCTTTTTGCAAGTTGAACACATAGGTTTCACTAGCACTACTTTTTGTGAAGTCTGTAGGCTGTAGCTAACATTTGAACTTAAACTTAGGTTTTTAGGAGTGTTCAATCAAATGTCTAAAACTCTGTTCAACACCCAGAAAACAGGGATTCTTATGGATCAAAATCATTGCTGTTACACATTTGCTCAAAACAGCTAAAGATGATAGATTTAAACTTAAATCACATTTGTTTTTTTTTTTAAACGTGTAATTATTGTGGTGATTAAAGGACTGGAGATTCTCGTGGGTTTGCCTTTGTTCGATACAAGTATGCAGATGAGGCACAAAAGGCAGTTGAAAAGCTTGATGGTGAGTATTTGATCTTTCATTTTCTTGTAATGTATTTCCTTTTATGAATTGAAATAAATGCACTTGTGGCAATCCTTTCAGGAAGAGTTGTTGATGGAAGAGAGATGATGGTTCAGTTTGCCAAATATGGGCCAAATGCTGAAAAAATGTGAGTCACATTCACATATAATATAACATATATTTCCAAATTCCAAGAATCAGAGTTGAAAAAGTATATGGTTGTTTGGCTAATGTGGTTGTTTTCATTCTTGTTTTAGTCACAAAGGAAGGATACTTGAACCAGTAGAAAAGCTGAAGGGTGGATCAAGGAGCCGAAGTCCTAGACCAAGGTATGTATTTTTGACCATTCTACCCTTGTATTGGAGTTGATGTTTAGTGAATGTAGTTCCAGGTATAGAGATGAATACAGGGGCTACAGGAGGAGAAGTCGCAGCAGAAGCAGAGACAGATATTATGGAAGGGACAGAGATCGTTACAGAAGTAGGGGTAGGAGCCCTGATTATCATACAAGACACAGGAGGGGTAGATATGATGATGAGAGAAGAAGCCCAAGTAGGTCTCCTGTAAGGTAAAAAGACTTAAATGCCCTTATCATTGAAAATAGCAGCCCTAAAAAGTTTTTTTTTTTTTCAGTTGTCTGTTTAAAGTTGATGTTTTGTTAAGAACCTGATGGACTATTCGCTATTCTATATGTGTTTGTTACTTACATAGAAGTACACTAGTCTTGAAAAGACTAGAATGCCCTTATCCCTAGAAAGTTTGTGTAGTATCATGTGATGTGTCAATAAACTGATGGATTACACAGAAGCAGGTCTCCTCCACGTAGGAGTAGGACACCTTCTAGAAGCAGAAGCCCTGAAGGAGGACGAAATGAGAAAGTATCATCATCCCATGGTAGAGCTGATTCCAGAAGCCCTTTGCAGCGTTCTTATTCCGATGTAATTTTCTTTTTTCTTGTGGAATCATTGATTCCGGATGTTGATATATTTTTTTTACTGATTAGTTTTATCTTTTGTTTGACAGGAATAATTTACTGAAAAAAGGTTTGAAAGATGAATTCTTGAACTTGTTTGCTGGTTGGTGCATCGTATTGTTAAGGTTAATCTTTTTTCATCCCATGCTTGCATTTTGGTTTCACATTATCAAGACTATTGCTTTTGTGTTTTTTTGTTTTGGATGTTTATGGGGTGTGTTAATGTTGTTTTTTTTTATTTTTTAAAATGGATAAGTATTGGTGTAAGAAATTTGGGAACTGAATGTGTTTTTTGGTGTGGAATATGTGGTTGATGTTGATGTTGCTGTGGGGAGAATAGAATGAGATGAGATTGTGTAGCAGCAGCTGTTGATTTCACTTTGTGAGAGTGGTAAGAGAAACAACACACTTTCTGTTGCTCAAGTCAAGTGTGATTTTATAGATATGGATATTAATTTATTATGAATGAAAATAAAAATACTTGCTGCTGACTTGAGATATTTTATTTGGGTAAAAAAAAGGAGTTTTAGTTGGTTGCTGAGAATGAGATGATCATGATCATGATAGATGATGATGATGTTGCTGCTGATAGCTATCAAAATGTTGTCATCCTTTGGTAGCTGTTGTGTAGCAGAGCCTAATAATCAATCTCATTATTCTTCAAGGTTAGAAGTACATGATTTGATATGATATGCTTCTCCTTTTAAAAAAAAGTCTTTGTACATATGCATGTATCTTTAAGGAAAATTGCAGTAAATAGGACAGAGTTGAAGGTGACTAGTTACTAATGTTGTTACCATTGTGACCTGCAATAGCAGGTTTTACAGGTTACCTCTTATGTGGCATCCAACTTTTTTTTTTTCTTATCTATTTTTGATTTTATATTGATATTAAATTGGTTGGACCTACAATATACACCACATGGATGTCCAAAGAAGGGTGACCTGTAAACCTTGTTGTGGCAGGTCATAAGACATTTAGAACAACATTATTAATTACTTATTCTTTCAGACATTAATATGACAAAAATGACTTATTAAGTACATACAAAAATAGTTGGTTGCCCCAAATAGCAAAATTAGTTGGTAATTTTTGTGCCAGTGTCAGAAACTAATATATCATATCTTTTGAGTTTGTACAACTTTTGTTGATTTGAATTGAGGCAAACAAGAAGCAATAGCTTTTCATGTAATATTTGATGAGATTATATGAGTTTTTGCATATTATTTGATCTCTTTTGTTAGTTAAATTGTTTTACATATTTGTATATTTGTTCGTTAGTTTGTTTTACCATATCAGTGTCAAATATAACAAAATGATCCATTTTAAGAATTTTTTTTTTTTGGGTAGAAATCAACTATGCCAAATCTTTTGAACATAGAGTCTATGTTCTCATTTGGAACCATATCAAATAATATAAAATCATATATACCAATTAAAATCTTATTATCTCTAGCTTGATCATTTCCTTTGAGTATTTAATAAAGATATCCATATTTCGTTTGTGGGTTCACAAAAAGCAACATGTGTTCTTTTTTCATCTTCCATTAGAGCAATAAAATTTCTAGCTTCATAATTGTAATGAATTAGATAAAAGGTTAATTCATCATAAGATTTTACTTTTGAAAATTTCATTGACATTACTACCCAAGCTTCTTTACTTTTACCTCTTGCATGGCTTTCAAAAAGGCTGGCCCAAAAGTTAAGAATATCTTTGGTTGATTTAGTTTTCAAATAAGAATAAAAATTTTGAAAAAGGGTTTCGTTGATTTAGTTTTTAAAAGTTTTCCAATAAAATGAAGGTTTTATGTTTTTCAAATTGTATGTAAATTAGCAAAGTCATTTTTATAGTTTTTAAATGTTTTCTAAATATCTAAAATGGAAAATAAAAACTCTACCCAGTTTTTATAAAACTTTCATTGAAAATTGAAAATAAAAACTCAACTCTGTTTTGTAAAAACATTTTCTTGGAAATGAAAATAATTTTCTACAACCAAAGGTATTGTGTTTGGTGGTGGAATATTGTTTTCATTTTCCAAGAAAATGTTTTCAGAAAATAGAGTTTTCTATTTGAGTTTTTATTTTCAGTTTTCAATGAAAATTTTAGAAAATACGTTTGTTGGAACGGATGAAGTTTTCATTTTCCATCTTATAAATTTAGAAAACTTTGTAAAACTGTAAAAACAATTTTTCTAATTTACATACAAACTTTTTATTTTTATAAATCTTAAGTTTTAAAATCGATCTTCTAAAATGAGTAACAAAAGTTTCTTTTTGTTTTTTGGTAGAAACACGATCAATCCTATATTGAAAGACTTCAAACCTTCTACAAAAATACCTTGGTATGGTGAGATCAAACTTACACACACTTGCATTTACAATGGAAATGTAACATTTAACCCTCAAATATATATTAACACTTTAAAGCATATAAATAGACATGAACTGAAGCTTCTGTGTGAGGAGGATGAAGATTTAGTGAAAGCTTGGATTTTTATATCGCAAGATGCGCAAACTGGTAACACGTAAACGAGACAATTTTTGGAATCGTGTTTTAGACCACTTTAATACGCTATTAGGAAGGCAAACAAATTGGACGTACGACACGAATGACATATTTGACAATCTTAAAAATATGCACAAAAGTGTTAGCAACGATTTCAATATTTTATCAACTACAAGCTATCAATACAAGCTTACCGACGACGGTAAAGCATTCGACCATCAAAAAACGTGTGATGTTTGTCGTAAGGGTCCAAAATGAGTTATTAATCTGGAGACGGCCCATTCGAATCAACCACCAGCTCCAACAAAAGGCCAAGAACTTCCGAGTCAGATGTGGGTTTTGGCCTCGACCTTAATGGTGACTTCAACGACACCGAGGGGGAGGGTCCACCTGAAGTTCAGTCGACCATCAGGAAGGGACGAAGGGAAACGGGCGCCGTCTTCATCCGGAAAAGTGAGTAGCGAAGACATACTTTCGGAAAAAAATAGACAAAACTCTACTTTTTCTCGAAATAAAATATGAAAAAACGGAGAATGCTCGTCGCCAAAAAATAGCACTTACCGATCTTCAAATTATAAACACAAAGCCCCAACCGGATTTCGACCCGAAAAATCAAGCAACATTTTTAAAAATTCAATGACAAGTCCGCGAAAAATATGACAATTAGGTTCTAAGGTTTTTTATATTTATGTTTTACAATATTTTCTATGTTTTTTTAGCAATTTAGGTTTAAATTTCTATGTTTTTATGTTTTTTTAGTAATTTCGGTTTTAAATTTTTATGTTTTTATGTTTTTTTAGTAATTTAGGTTTTAATTTTCTATGTTTTTTTAAGTAATGTATCGAGTTTTTAAGTAATGTAAAATATTTTTTTATGTTTAATAATTATGTTTTAATCTAATGTCAAAATAAATAAATAAATAAATAAGATAAATAATATGGAGTGATAACAATTTCAAGGGGTAGTAGTGTGTTAATACTCCTAGCACTTTGCCATATCACTTTTTTGCTTACCACGGTTATCTTTTTGTCTTAGCACCTAAATCTTAACATTTTATAGGGAGTGATAATACTTTTAGCGCTTCATTTTTTTTCTTTTTCAAAATTAATTAAATTATATATATATTTTTTAAAACACAACAATTAATATTAAATAATTTTTATTTTTTTAAACCACAAACCATTCATATCAATTAAATTATATTTTTTAAAACAAAAACATTATTAAAAAGTCACAATAAGGTTTTTCAGGGGGTTTTGTGCTAATTCTGGAAATTTATGTTGTAAAAAAAATTGTAAGTTGGGGTTGAATCTGTCATAAGGCTAAAATCGAGGGACCAAAACAGCCAAATCGTAATTTCTGTGTCTTCTTCCTCCCTGCTACCCGACGAAGAGCTTTGAAGTTCTTTCTCTTTTCGTTAACCTGCAAAATTCGATTTCTTTTAAACAAACTGATTTGTGAATCACATTGTCCCATTTCTTTCTCTCTCATCTTGTTAAGATCCTAGTGACATGGTCTGTAGCGAGCCCCCTAGTGAGCGCTATGGGTGGTGTTCCATTTCTTTGGCGAGCTTAGCGACTGATCTTGGCGAGGCCACTTCTAGCAGCCTTAGCCTTATGTGGAGGGAGTGAACCATTCCCAACTCATTCAACCTATTTGTTATATTATTTTTTCCTCTCTCCCCTATCTTCCATCTTTTCCAGCACACAACACATGAAAATTACATATTTTCCAACACACTCAACCCATTCAATTGAATACATACAAAACAACATATGGTACAAGTAAACAAGCACAATGTATAAGAGAAAAGAGAGAGGGGGAAGTAACGGACTGAACAACCCGCTAGATTCTTTGTTTGTGCCGATGCTCTGGCTGAAACATGCCGCCGACGATACCGCCAACCCAAATGCCTTATCCCGCCACGACTCCGTGCACCCTTAAGGTATGTGGCAAGTCTTTACAAAATCTTTGAATTTGGAGAGTAAAAATTTTCGCCTTTAGCTTTTACAAAAAACTAAGCATGTTTGTAAAATACAAAAAATGGTTTTAAATCTTTCAATAAAAATTGATATTTTTAATATATTTGAAAAACTATATTTTACTTTCAAAATTTCCACTTAAATATTTCATCAATATTTAGTAAACTATTAAAATACTAGATTTTATATGCGTTTGACAAGTGCAACATTTTTGGATGTGGCATCATTTTTTTTTTGGAGCCGAGGCAGTTTAAGGCATCAATTGTTGAGCTAATGCAACACTTGATGAAAATGACTGAAGTCTGCGAACCACATATGCAACCTTCTGCAGTATAAAAGGTGGACCAAACGGCTGTAGCATGTAATAAGAAGTTTGTTTGTTTTTTAACATCTGCAGTAAACTGAAATTACCTATACAATAGTTAAAAATAAATCTAAATAAAAAATTTATTTAGTTTAATCGTATGCAAATCTAAGATAAAGATCATTGTGATTATATGACTTTTAAAGAGGTTTGTATAAAAGAATTTAACATAATATTTGTTAAATAACAACAAATAAAATTATTAATTTAGCTAAAACATGTTATTGTTGTTAAAATTTTGACAACGATGATTATTTTTCCGGTTAACTTAAATAAATTTGGTAATTTTAATGATTAACTTTGTAATTTATTAATATTTGGTTATAGATAATATAACATAAAAATTATTTATATGAAATTTTACAAACGGTTTTGAAATTATGTAAAATATACTCAAATTGTTTATAATATTCTTCAAATATTATTAAAATAATAAAAATGTTGTTGAAAAAAAATTAAAACAAATCTAAGTTGAATAATATAACTTAAAATAAGTGAGAAGTGGTTTGAAGAGGATGATCCAGTGTTGCGCACCAATTTTTAAGTTAGAAGTCTTCCAAAAAAACAAACAGCTGTGAAAGATCAAGTGCTGCGCGGTGTAACAAGAAGTGGTCAGAAATGGTTTTTCTGAAAAAACAAACAACACCTAAATATTCTCCTATCTTTTCTTCTCGAAGTAGCATAGAATGATGCATTTCTTTTCTATTTATCATCCTATGAAGATCAAATCTCAAAAAAATAAAATGAGATTATTAAACAAAAATGTAATTTGCGATTTGATTTGAATATCATTATAACAAAGTGAAATCATAGGCAAACGCACCAACAATACTTAATTGATATGTATTTAACACATATTAAATACCGTACATTAATGTTAGAAATATGTTTAATATCAGATTTACAGTTTAGCATAAGAGATTGTACTTTATAATTAGTAACAATTACTTAATTAATTTTAATGATATATTTTTTTAACAAGTATAAGTTATTAACCTATAGACATTCCAAATTCTATTTTTAGATGAATTTAATTGTAAAATTTAAAGAATAGCAATAAGCAATTATAGTAATCTTTACGTCTATAAAGCAAAGCTGGAAAGGAACGAACGCCTGACATTGTTGCACAGAGGATGTCGACGATTACCGTTCCGGCAGAGGTTCCTCCCGTCTCCGACGACGTTGAGCAGCTTCATAAAGCTTTTGAAGGTTTTTCTATAAATTCATCCATTTTAATTAGAATCGTTATTTATTTTCATTGGATTGTCAATGCTGTACACTTCAATTTGATGTACGAATCTCGACTGATTTCTCTCGTTAATATCTCCATACGTGTTTATCAATTGTTTACCCTTGTTGTTTATCTTCTTATCCAGAAATCTATTCTCAAAATTCTCTCTAATTTGATCAGTTTTTGAAAATTATTATCATCATCATCGGATTGTCAATGCTGTTGTATGAAATTGAATGTCGACTGATTTCTTTCCTTTCTGATCTCGTAATGTGGATATACAAATTGATTATCATGTAACCTGTTTTGTATATGCAATAATCTGTAAAACGATAGTAATCATTTCGTAAATCTGATCATGATTTTGAATCCACTTCTATCCTATAATGGCGCATTAATGATCGAATCCAACCTTTAATTGTGCCATGTTTTGAGTTGTTTTTGGAGGATAGATCAATCATCAATTATATGATATGATTAATTTCATGTCGATTGATTGTGATGTTTTAATCAAAAGAAATGCTAGGAAAACGAAGAAGATCATGCATGAAAGTTGTAAATCGCTTTGGATTTGTGAAGAAGATGATTGGTGCCTTATTTACCTATTAATCCTCTTTCGAATCAATTATCACATCTTTTCCTGATGAATTTCGTTTCCAATTTTTTGATTCTGTTGAAGGATGGGGAACAAACGAGGGTTTGATCATCGAGATTTTAGCTCACAGAAACGCAGACCAGCGTAAGCTTATCCGCCATACTTATGCTGAAACTTACAAAGAAGATCTCCTTAAAGCTCTTGAAAAGGAACTCACAAGCGACTTCGAGGTACATTCAAACCTAATTTAATTACTTTTCCATTCATAAATCTACTCAAAACCAGGTTTAATCTGATCTATTTTTGTTAATTAATTTAGAGGATTATTCTTCTCTGGACACTCGATCCACCTGAAAGAGATGCATTTTTGGCAAACGAAGCAACAAAGAAAGGAGCTAAAAGTAATCATGTTCTTGCTGAAATAGCTTCCACAAGATCCTCACAAGATCTTCTTCTTGTAAAGAAAGCTTATCATCTTCGTTATCAGAAATCCATGGAAGAAGATGTTGCACATACCACAACTGGGGATTTCGGAAAGGTAGTACAACAACTACAAAGTACAAACTATTGTTTTCATTTCAAGGGCATTTTTGTAATTTCATTGTTCTTTTTTTGGTTCTGTAGTTGTTGTGGCCTTTGGTGACGAGTTACAGATATGAAGGGGATGAAGTGGACATGTCGCTTGCAAAAACAGAAGCAAAATTACTCCATGATAAAATTACAGAGAAATGTTATAACGATGATGATTTTATAAGAATTATCACCACAAGAAGCAAACCACAAATCAATGCAACTTTGAATCATTACAAGAACGAGTTTGGACAAGATATTAACAAGGTATGAACATTGACTTATTGACTTTGAATCATTACAAGAATGAGTTTATATTAAATTTATGTCAAAAAAAATAAAATGTTTATAGGATTTAAAAGCTGATCCAAAAGACGAGTTTTTAGCAATTTTAAGGGCAACAATAAAGGGATTAACGTATCCTGTGAAATACTTTGAGAAAAGGTTAAGGCTAGCAATTGAGAAGACAGGGACTGATGAAAGTGCACTCTCAAGAATTGTGGCTACACGAGCTGAATTTGACATGAAAATTATTAAAGAAGAATATAAAAAGAGAAGCAGTGTTTCATTAGATGAAGCTATTGCTAAAGATACTAGAGGAGATTACGAAGACATGCTTCTAGCTCTTGTTGGTACTAGTGAATCTTAAAATCTGAACTTATTTCAGATTGTTTGTTTGCAGTTTTATTATGATTTTTAAAATTGTTTGTTTAATTTTTCTTTGCTTATGTTTTGTGACATTGCACATATTATAAAGCATTTCACATTTTAATGTAACGACTAGAAGGAAGTGATAGTGATGCGTTATCAAAATTGGAAAAAAGAAGTGATGAGTCATGAGATGTGTTATAAAAATTGGAAACGACTACTAATTCAATTTTCTAGTACGCATGATGTATTTACCTTTCGCATTTTATATTTTCTATATAGCATCATCTTATTTTCTCTCCATTCTCCTCTAATTATGCAAAATCCAGAAAATAGTCACATTTAAATTCACTTTTTTTTTTTGTTAAAATAAAATTACTACAAGTCAATTTTCTTTAATAAATAATTAAAATCAATTAAGAAAAATGGTTAATAAAAACAAAATTAATGAAAATGCAAATACTTGGTTACTTACAAATATAAAGTTCATCATTGAAAAAAAACATGAATTAGAAAAAAACGAAACTAAAACAAACTACGAGATCAAGCCTGACCGATATATTTTTTCTTGATGTCCAGGTCGTCTCCCGAAAGATGGTGGTGCTTTACATAAAAAATTTCATATCTTTTCCTCACAAGCCTTTTATTTTTTTGGCCACTTTATCCTTTTCAAATGTCGAATGTTCAGTGAAATTCAAGTTATATTGTTCGAAACTCATTGTCATTTTCTGCATTTCTTCCTGATTTGGTGAATCCCAATGCACTTGAAGATCCATCCCCCTTCCTTGTTGCTGAACGTGTCATCTTTATTCAAATCTAACCCGCCACGAACATTGGAAGAAGTTGTGCTATTGCTCAACAATGTTTTTGTTCTTTTTTCTTACATCGGCTTCGACCTCTTTCTTTTGCATGTCTCTCCATTTTCAGCTTTTTGCTAAAATTTTCCAAATGTCATTATATTTGAATATTTGAATGACCTTCCATTGTTGCCATCACAAAATAATTGATATGCATCTTAGAGAATTTTATCACTATGTCCGCTTTTCCTTTAGTTTTTAGGTTGTTGTACAATTCGGTCATCTTTGAAACATGCTTACAAATATCTCGAAACTTTGTATTCAATTGGTGTTTACTACAGTAGTCACCACACCCTATTTGTCCGAGAAATCTTTCGGTAATGAATAGCAAAACATGATCAATCAGTTGTGCATTTCCTTCCTTTTCATCACCGGATATGTCGAGCCACACTTTTGTTAACATCAATTCTTCCATTAGAATCCACCATACGAAGGGAGTTGGTTGTCAAAGATCTACTCGGGTGAGAGGGGTTGAGTTTCCCATACGAAGTCGCCATCCGACTTGTCGAGGGTTTGGGTTTGTGGGTTGGGGGGGGGGGGGGGGAATAGGGAAATAAGTTGATGAATTTTTTCGACCGGATTTTGGGATGACATTGTTGGCATCCATTTTGTTGTAAATTATACACTTATATTTCATGAAAATTCTTCATACTTTCGAAAAATAATATAAAGTAATGTAATGTTGCAAAAACTATTTCGTCCCATTTTGGTCATATTACAAAAATGTATGTAACTTTGATCTACAATTGAAAGGCAAATCACTTTACCAAAAACCAGAAATGATAATAAAAATTAAATGTATGTGATCTAAATCTTGTTGTTGGTGTTCAAGACAAGAACAATACTCAAAAGGGCAAGTCTATAAGATGCAGATCTAAGATTTCTTGTTAAACAACACGTGTGTGTAAATGACATAAGATGTAAAATTATGATGAAATTACCCACCCTTATGTCCAAAGTTTTATATCTAGTCGATGTCCATCACTCCATCTTCAATCACAGTGCCTTCTTTATAGGCACAAATGAAGAGCAACTCTAACAAAACATAGTTAGTTTTCTTTTTCTTAATCCATTTTAAAGAAAAGTTGATGCATGTGTTTGGAACTTGATCAAGTATTTTATTTTATCATCTCTTCTCTGATGATTTTCAAAAATGCCACCCTTTAGCTCTCCAATATTTCTGTGCATTTTCATCATGTCGACCTTTCTTCATCTTTAAAAACAGTTTATAAGCCATTTCCACTTTCTTTGAAGCAATTAGTTTGTTACTCAACTTAGCAGATATAAGCCTACTAGGACAAAACCCTTTCTTCAAACACTCCTCCATAACTATCACAGCATTTTCAAGTTGACCATTGTTACAAAGCCCATTGATGATGTACTCATAAACTTCCACATCACAAAAACAACCACTTTCTTCTTCCATCTCATCCCATACCTGCAAAAGCATACCACATTTCCCAAATCTTGAAAGTCTCATAAGCAGAATCTTGTAACAATTTACTGATATCACACACCCTGCATCTTTTGCTTTCTTGTAAATCATCATAGCAGCATGTGGTGGGCCATAGCTACAAAGAAACTCAATAAACAAGGTTATTGTCCCAGTTGTGGGCCTCATCCCTCTACCTATCATTTCATCAAACATTTCAATAGCATCTGATACTCTTCGGGATTTAAGAAAAGCAGAGATTATCGAAATATAAGTGTTCATATTTGGTTCACAATTATCATTCAACATAAGATTGTAGTATTTCAAACATTCATCAATATCTCCAATTGATATGAAGTTGAAGATCATTGAGTTGAAAAGGTTCACATTCAACACACATCTTTTCTTCTCTTTCAATTTCATGAACATGTCAATGGCATCATTGATTCTACCAGCTCTCCCTAAGCCCTCAAGAAGGTAGCTAAAAGTTAAACTATCAGGATCAAATCCATCTTCCACCATTTCCTTCAAAACCCTTTTGATTTCATCCACCTTACCAAATTTGGAAAACCCACATAGTAGTATGTTATATGTCTCACAATCAAACTGCACCTTTTCTTTCATTTTATGCAACCAAGAACTTGCAGTGGCTACATGAGACCGATTACAAAGGCATCTTAGCATGACTTTTAGAGACTCCAAATCATACTCCATCCCAAATTCTTCCAGTTTCTTGAACATATGTAAAGCTTTTGAAACTCGATTGGCCTTAACATAACTATCCATAAAAATAAACAATGTTTCATGATTAGGGTTCAAACCTTTCTCCTTCATTTCACCAAACAAATTGATCATATAATCAAAGAATTTCCTTCTTCCTAACCCTTTAAGAACAATATTATAACTATCAACATTCCCAAATACCTTCCCCTGTTCGATAGCCCACTTGAAAAACGCAACCATAGATCCCCCATCTAAACTCCCTCTGTTCAGTACTTTAGATACTAAATCAGTAGTCACTTCAATATCAACAGCAGCTGCTGTTAAAGCTCGTTTAATTTCAGATTTCCCATTCAATTTCTGAATGAAGATCCCTCTCAACTTATCTTCAGGTGATAGCAACATCTCCACATTTTTGTGCAATTCTGACCTAGGTTTTCCGATTGGATGTGTATTACAATGACGGATGGGTAAAAGATCAGACAATTGATCCAACACATGGCGTTCGTCCTTGTTGATACTGTTTTCCGTAGGTTTCTTGTCATCCGAATTCAATAGATCAACTGTTTGTGTAGAAAATGGCAATAACGAAATCGAGGGATGAAGAATTTGAGAAGTGTACCTTATTATGCTGAACCTAGCAAGCAACATGACTGTAAAGCGAAAACGCTACACCGTGAATTTTGTCTGCGTTCCGTTCATTACTTCATTTGTCCAGGAGGGTAAACGACGTCGTAGGTTTGTTACCAACTTATCCCACATCGGTCATATACTCATATACATTTTACTTTTAACCTATACTTTTGATATACATCAATATCATAACTTTAGAAATTAAAAAAAATATTTAAACCTCTCCCCCTACGGCGTTGGTGGCCCACACTCGCCGTCGGTGGACGTCTCTCTTCCTCTCCACCATCGTCTTCCTCCTCTCACCATCGCCTTTTCCGGCCATCCTCTGTCGGCGAAACCCGTCTGTAGTTTTACTTTTACACTAAAATTAAACCTTTTTATACTTAGAGGGTGTTTGTTTTAATTTTTAAAATGACTTTTATTTTTATCTTTTAGAAAAAGTCATAAAGATGTTTGTTTAAGTGAAAAAGGACTTTTGGAAATAACTTTTTAATAGAATAAATTGAGCCTTTTTGAAAAGTCACGATTATGTGATTTTTCCCAACTTTTCAACAGTAAAAGTATTATATTACCAATATATCCCCATCTATTCTAATCAATTCTTCATTCACAACATATGATTCCCTACTTTCTCCTAAAAGTTAACCCAAACACTTTAACTTTTGACTTTTTCCCTTCAAAAGTTAATCCAAACACATTTTAAAAAACAACTTTTATAAAAAGTCATTTTACAAAAAAGACTTTTCCCCACAAAAGCTAAGCCAAACATCCTCTTAACTAAAAATGCATAAAGTCGGCTAATGTTTGATTTGACGAAATTGCCCCTGAAATAACATTATAATTTCTCGCCTTTTACAGAGACTCTGTTGGTCTTTCTTCCTTCCCTGCCTTCGATCCTCTTCCTCCTGCTTCTCACTGCTCCTGTGTTCGATTATCCTACCGGCGAAGTTGAATTACGTAATGCGTTTTAGAGCATGAGTGTTCTGAATTCAGCATCGGAATCACACAATCATTAATCGATCTGAGATTTTCATCGATCTATTTCGACACCCAGTTTGGTGGCTCAGGTGCTTTGCAATTTTCTACTATCAATCAAGTATTGTTGTGATTGTTTTTCACACGGTTAGGTATTTATATCGATTCATATTCGTTTTGCCGGACAATTGCACTCGTTGTTGAACAATTTCTTGGTATGTAAGCGAATTAGGGTTTCAGTTTGCTTTATTTTCCACCTCTTCGATATTTCCGGCTCTTTTAATTCTTTCTACCTATTTTCGCTGATAAGTTAGGGTTTTGGTCTCTTTGTTATGGACTATGAATGGTGAATGATTCCAGTACACCGGTAAAGAGAATTTAACTTATACTTGTAGTTGCTACTCCTATTCCTACAAAAAATGAGCTCACATTGGTCTTTGAATTCAATTCAGATAGTTTTCGAATGCCAAATTATGTGTCTTTTCTTTTTGGGGTTTTCATATCTCCTGGATATATTTCTTAAAATTTTGCTGGAAAATAGAAAAGTTATCTCTTTGACTGGTAATACTTTGGAATTAGCATATTTTGGTTGCTTCTCATTGATGCTTCAAGTGAATTCCTGTCAATGATTTGTTTCACTAGTGATAGGTTTTACCAGAAAATTCTTTTTTGATCCTAATCCTTTGAGGGCGGATGATTTATTCCCTCATGGCTTTGGTTAAGAAGACATTTTGCTCTTCCAAGACAAACCATATTGTGCTAAATACATCTTTCTCATGTGGCAGACTTCATTACATATAATGGATTCTGATGCTGGGAATACGTCTCAAGATGGTAGGGGAACTGATGACCGTGATGAAGGTATTTAATATTGAAACTCAACTCTTCAGCATCAATGCCTATCACAAATTTATTCAAACAATTTTGGAAAGAACATGTGTGATCATGTGTTAGTTTGCTTTGAAAGGCATAATAAGCATAAATTACCACTATTGATTACAATCAAGAGTTGTGAATAACATTGTAAATATGTAACACGCAACAAACATAGACAATAAAAGAGACTATCGGAAGCATGATATTTTGGATAGTTGATAACCTTTAATTGTTGCACTGTTTAGCAACTTCATATGAATTCAATTGTTAGCCCATCTAAACAAGTGCTTTTGAATCCTGATTCTGATTGCCATCCTTGTGTACTGATTTGGATTCCACATTTAACCCCTTGAATTCAGTGACTTGCCTTGTATGCTATTTAGAATTCTAAAATTTTAATTGGCAGATGATGATGATGAATATGAAGATGCTCGTGATGGCAATCGTCTTTTGGAATTCATGTTTGGAAATATCGATGGGGCTGGTGATCTTGATATTGATTACCTTGATGAGGTATCTATTCCTCTTTTTTTTATAGGTGTTTATATCTTTATATATATTTATATCAACTTGGATACTAAAACCATGGTTTTGTTTCACAGGATGCAAAGGAGCATCTTGCTGCACTAGCTGACAAGCTTGGTTCTTCACTAACAGATTTCCATGTATACAACTGCTTTCTACTTCCTTCAACTTGTGTTTATTATTAGTTTATTACTCATTACACATTTCCATGTACTCTGTTTTGGTATATGATAACTGATAAGAACTTTTCACTATTTTAGTATCTAGATCTAACTCTTTATTCTTTTACTATCTCATTACTCAGCTGTCAGTAAAAACCTCACAAACATCTGCTGATGTTGCTGAACAAGGTATCATTGTTCTTATTAATGAATTTATGACTTTGGACTTATAGGATAATGGTTGATTATGTGGACATTATAGCTGATAATCTTCTAATCCCACCTCTTGTGCTACATCCAAACAGATTATGATCTGAAGGCTGAAAATGCAGTTGATTATGAAGATATTGATGAACAGTATGAGGGACCAGAAGTCCAAGCATTGACTGAGGAGGACTATCTATTACCAAAATCTGATTATGTTTCTACAACTGTACCACCTGTTGCCTCATCTTCATTGTTTGATGATGAAAATTATGATGAAGATGAAGAAGAGGAAGAATTACAGAAAGAACTTGATCGTGTGGATAATGTTGACCAAGTTGACCAAGTTCAAAGCCCTTCTTTACCAGTGGTTCCTCAAGAAAAATGCTCTCCAGAGGATGTTAGTCCTACAGTTGAAATAGAAAACTCAGATCCTGATGTTGTGGAGCCTCAAAAGGTTACTACATTTATTGTGTGTATGCAGATTTCATTATATAAAGACATCTTTTAAGCTTCCTTTATATAAAGAATTAAAGATACATTTGATATACATATAACTTCTGTTTTCAGGAGGACACAGATATGTTGGAAGAGCCAGTTGAAGCTAAAAGTTCAACCCCACTTCCTGTTCTCTGTGTAGAAGATGGAAATGTGATCTTACGATTTTCAGAAATATTTGCTATTCATGAGCCTTTAAAGAAAGCTGTAAAGAGGGAACAATGGTTTTCTGTTCCAAAAGGTATTCATTTCATTATATCCAAAAATTTGAAGAAGCATTTGTACCTAAAACACAAGTATGCTTTACTATGTGAGATATTTTGTATGTTGTTAACCTGTTGCTATGTTAACATTTTGTGTAAATATATTGCAGAAAAGTACAAGTCCATGGATGTATCTGATATTGTGGAGGAAGATGAAGAGGCATTTTTAAAGGGCTCTTTAAAAGGTTTTCCTTATATGAGACACACACATGTATTTCAAGATGATTTATCGACATCACAGGAGGATAAATTAGACCTTCCAAAATCTGGGATTGTTGATGAAGATACAACAGTGGCTTCAGAAGTTGATGATCAAAGGAAAGACTATTGTCATGATGTTATCCCATCCAGTAACAAACTCTTCAGTGATGATTATTTCCCTCTTGATCAACAAGACTGGGAAAATAGAATAATTTTTGATAATTCTCCAGCTGTAAGTGAAACTTCTGGTGGAAGTGAGATTTCTGGACCTGAATCTGACTCATTATTGAAGTCCAAGACACGGGTTGAGTCGAAATCAGACGAGGAAGATCAAGGGTATTTTTGTCATTCTGTAGAGCCATTCGGTTCAAGAAAATCTCCAAAATCATACAGTTCATCTGAAGAAACCATATATCATCCCCAACTTTTGAGATTAGAATCACGGTTGGAAACAAATGATGCTAAAAAAGATACAACAGTTGAAAGTGATACCATTAAACGATTCAACAAACTCACTTTACGCAATAAAGATGTTCTTGATGGATCTTGGATGGATCGAATAGTGTGGGACCCGAATCAATCTGTTACAAAGCCAAAATTACTTCTTGACCTTCAAGATGAACAGATGCTTTTTGAAATTTTGGATAACAAAGATGGAGATGATCTTCAGCTTCATGCTGGAGCCATGATCACAAGTCGGTCTGCTGAGTCAGCACCAGATTCATTGGAGCTATTACATGGTTATGGAGGCGGGAGATTTAATATAGCTAATGACAAATTCTATTCCAACAGGAAATCTTCCCAACAGTTGAAATCACATTCCAAGAAACGCACATCACATGGTGTTAAAGTCTTGCATTCAATACCTGCTCTCAAGCTACAGACAATGAAAGCCAAACTTAGCAAGTAACCACAAAAATCTCTAGTCTCATTTTTCTTTTACTCTATATATATATATATATATATATATATATATATGTTGTCAACTCATTTTTCTTTTACTGTATTTGCAGTAAAGATATAGTCTATTTTCATAGGCCAAAAGCTTTATGGTATCCTCATGAAAATGTGGTGGCACTTAAAGAACAAGGAAAGCTGCTTACAAAAGGGTCAATGAAAATTGTATTGAAAAGCTTGGGAGGGAAAGGGAGCAAGCTTCATGTAGATGCTGAGGAGACTATTTCATCTCTCAAAGGAAAAGCTACCAAGAAGCTTGGTTGGTCTTCTTTTTTTGGGCTAATAATAATATTACCACAGTTTCTGTTGAAGTTAAAATTTTTTACAAAATTCTCCTTTCTTTTTGGTAGATTTTAAACCAAGTGAACCTGTGAAAATTATATACTCTGGAAAGGAGCTTGAAGATGAAAAATCTCTTGCTGAACAAGATGTTAGACCAAATTCTTTGCTGCATCTTGTTCGTACAAGAATACATTTATTACCAAGGGCTCAAAAACTTCCTAGTGACAACAAGTCCTTACGCCCTCCTGGATCTTTTAAAAAGAAATCAGATCTTTCAGCTAGAGATGGTCATTCTTTTCTAATGGAGTAAGTATTCTTCCAAGATCATGCATCATTTTTAGTTTCAGACATTTCTAATGTTTGTTTTTTTTTTTTATTAGGTATTGTGAGGAAAGGCCTTTACTCCTTGGAAACCCTGGAATGGGTGCTCGATTGTGCACTTATTACCAAAAATCAAGTCCTGGTGATCAAACAGCCACCCAATTGCGTAGTGGGCCCAACAATTTTGGAAACATTCTTACACTCGATCCAGCTGATAAATCCCCTTTTTTAGGAGATATAAAGCCTGGTTCAACTCAATCATGTCTTGAAACAAATATGTACAGAGCTCCAATTTATCCACATAAACTCTCATCCACTGACTATTTACTCATTCGCTCTCCAAAGGGAAAGCTCTCGTTAAGACGCATTGACCGGATTTACGTTGTTGGTCAACAGGTTTGACCTATATCTTTCCTTTGTTTTTTTTTTTTTTTTTTCCATCTGTATCTTTATTTATTTAAAATGTGTAATGTAAATAGGAGCCTCACATGGAGGTGATGTCCCCTGTATCAAAAGGTGTTCAGATGTATAATATGAATAGGCTTCTGGTGTTTATGTATCGTGAGTTTCGTGCTCTTCAAAAACGTGGCTTGACACCTGCCATTCGTGCCAATGAGTTATCTGCACAGTTTGCAAATGTAGCTGAAGTTTCTTTAAGGAAGAGGTTAAAGTTATTCTGTGATTTTCAGGTAAATTTTTACTCTTTACTTTATTTTTTTTACCAATAATACCAATATATTAACAGTTTGTTTTTTATTTATGGAACCAATCACCAGAGGGGCTCATGGGTTATGAAGCGAAATTTCCGTATTCCATTAGAGGAGGAGCTTAGAAGAATGGTGACACCAGAAAATGTATGTTTTTACCTTTCTTTAATCTTAATCTTTATCTTTATCTTTCTTTTCTTGTTCTTTTTCATTTATGTTTTTTTTTCTTGTGTTAGGTGTGTGCTTTTGAAAGCATGTTAGCTGGAATGTACAGACTGAAACGTCTAGGAATCAGCATGACTCATCCATCTGGTCTCTCCTCTGCAATGAATCAGCTTCCTGATGAAGCAATTGCTTTAGCTGCTGCGTCCCACATCGAGAGAGAATTACAAATAACTCCCTGGAATTTAAGCAGCAACTTTGTTGCTTGTACAAATCAGGTAATATAATAATTAATAAAAAGTAAAAACAAACAGGGACTTATCTTAATACTTAACTGGATATGAAGTCTTAAATATTGTTGTTCAGGATAGAGGAAATATTGAGAGATTGGAGATTACTGGTGTTGGTGATCCATCTGGTAGAGGATTAGGATTTAGTTATGTTCGAACTGCTCCCAAGGCTCCAGTTTCAAATGCCATTGCAAAGAAAAAAGTTGCTATAAATAGAGGAGGATCTACAGTCACTGGAACTGATGCTGATCTTCGTAGATTAAGCATGGATGCTGCAAGAGAAGTGCTTATTAAGTTCAATGTTCCAGAAGAACAGATTGCAAAACTTACAAGGTGGCATCGGATTGCAATGATCCGGAAGCTTTCAAGTGAACAAGCTGCATCAGGAGTAAAAGTGGACCCCACAACCATAAGCAAGTATGCACGTGGTCAAAGGATGTCTTTCTTGCAGCTTCAACAACAAACACGAGAAAAATGTCAGGAGATTTGGGATAGACAAGTTCAAAACCTGTCTGCTGTTGATGGTGAAGAAAACGAAAGCGACATTGAAGCACATAGTGACCTTGATTCGTTTGCAGGGGATCTTGAGAACCTTCTAGATGCTGAAGAATGTGATGAAGGTGAAGAGGATAATAATAATTATGATTCTAATAACTTGGTGGCTGGTGTTAAAGGTCTTAAAATGAGACGCATGCCTTCACAAGCTCAAGCTGATGTGGAAAATGAAGATGAAGCTGCTGAAGCTGCTGAGTTATGTAGAATGCTCATGGATGGTATCAACTATCAACTATCAATTTTATTATTATGTTGTTTTTACTTTTTATCTTTAAAATGTCCCCTTTTATTTATTTATTTATGATTCAGGAGATGATGAGGCGGATAGGAAGAAGAAAAAAGTGAAAGATACAGGAGCAACTCCTATGTCAAATCATAATATGAAAAATAAGGAGAGGTTGAAGGGACTCAACACACCTGTGAAAACTATGTCTGGTGTTACACGACCTGATGGATCCTTTTCTATAAATGATAATGCTGTGAAGTCATTAAAAGATGTACGTCTGTATTCATCATGTGGGACCCTTATTTTATATAGTTTTATTGATTGATGTTCATGTGGTGGGGTGGCAGGATGAAATGTTTCCTTACAGGAAGAACTTTTCTGGAAAGATGAAACCCAAAAAGAAGGATGATGAACAAGTTGGTGGTTTGCTGAATAAGAAGCTTAGAATTTTGAATGATGGCATGAATATTATGAAGGTTAGTAAGTTGGTTGCTTTTTTCTCTTTACTGACACAAAAAACAAGATGAGGTTTTAACAATAAGTTGTTGCTTGATCTATTCTTCTGTAGGTTGGAAATACAAAGAAAAATGCAAGAGAGAGTTTTGCATGTGGAGCTTGTGGTCAGGTATGTTATGCCTTTTTCTTTTTTGACATAAATACAAAGGTCAAGTATGGTCTACATATGTTGTGATGTGATGATTTTATGGTTTGATTCGTCAGTTTGGTCACATGAAAACCAACAAACACTGCCCCAAGTACAGAGAAAATTCCAACATTCAAATCGAAAGCAAAGATCCCGAAAAAGGGCCCACAAAATCCACAGGTTTAGGTTTAGAATCAATCACCAAATCCCAACCAAAAAACACCATAAAAAAGATGATACAAAAAAGCGGGTCAAAACTTGCAGTCATCGAACCTCAACCTCCACAAGAGGAGGAAAAAACCTCTTTAAAAGCCAAAGTCCTCAAAGTCAAATGTGGGCCCGCAAACAGCAACAAAATCCCGGAAAAACCCACTCCCAGCACCTCACAAATCTCCGACAAACCCGTAACCTCAGACACCGAAACAGTCAACAAATCTTCAATCAAAGTCAACAAAATCATATTCTCCAACAAAACAAAAAGCGAAGATATCCAACCGGAATCCCATAAACCCGCAGCCTCCCTCGTAATCCGGCCACCGGAAAGTCACCGGAATCCTCCACCACCACCGCAACCCCGGAAAACAATCGTCATCAAACGCCCGAAAGAAGTCTTTGACTTTGACCAGGTCAGTCAAAGTCAAGAAGTCAGCCCGGTAACCGAGCCTCGAAAAACCAAAAGAATCACCGAATTATCCGGTTTCCAAAAACATCCTCGATCAAATAAATCAAAAGATCATCATCATCATCATCATAATCATAATTCCCAAATTTGGGAAGAAGACCAACACGCGCTAAGAATTGCCGAGAGACAAAGGCTATTATACGAAGAACAACAACAACAAGCACAGCAAGCGAGAAAGCTAGAAGAACAAGAGAGAGTGGCGGAGATTAGGCGGTTCGAAGAGGATATAAAACGCGAAAGGGAGGAGGAGAGGCGGCAACGTGAGAAAAAAAAGAAAAAAAAGAAAATATTTTTCGAACCAAGGAACGAGTATCTCGAGGAGACTCCTCGACCCAGGCGAGACGACCGCCGGGTCCCGGAGCGCGACCACCACCGCACCGCAAAACGGAAGCCCGTCGTCGAATTAGGCGGGCGGTTCGGGGCGGAGTATGCCCCGACCGTGAAGCGGCGTAGGGGCGGAGAGGTAATTTCACCTACCCAGTTAAACTTTGATTTCAAAAATCGTGATCGTTTTTTATTTATTTTTATTTTGTGATATGACATAGGTGGGTTTGGCGAATATACTGGAGAAGATTATTGACACGTTAAAAGCAAACAATGTGTCGTTTCTTTTCTTGAAACCCGTGACTAAAAAGGAAGCGCCAGATTACCTTCGGATAATAGATCGGCCAATGGACTTGTCAACAATGCGGGAGAAAGTGAGAAGATTGGAGTATAAAAGCCGGGATGCGTTCAGACATGACATGTGGCAGATAACATTCAATGCTCATAAATATAACATTGGAAGAAATCCGGGTATTCCTCCGCTTGCTGATCAGCTCTTGGAGCTTTGTGATTTTTTGTTATCGGAATATGATGCGGTTTTGAGTGAAGCGGAAGCGGATATAGACGAATGAATGATTTTATGTTTTGATTATTTATGTATGTAGAAAATTTGTATATTTTTACCCTGTTATGTAGTTTAGGTTTATGGGTAAACACAGGAATTTTTTAACTTCCTTTTTTTGGTGGTGGGTTGGTTTATTTAGTGGTGAATTTTGTATATATGGTAGGATATATATGATATATAGTTTTTACATGTTTTGTAAACCATATCTGGTTTTGTACTTTATGTATTTGCTAAATTATTTGGGAGGAGGCCGTTTAGGATTTTAAGTTATTAGTTTTTACAATAAACCTGATTATGTCTTCTTTCTCTACTTACACTAATGGGTTTAGGAAATTTTTTCAAGCTAAACTAATAGCCCAAAACCTTATAAGCAATTACTTAGATTACATATTTGCTTCTAATAAGCTAACTATTTTATTTGTTTAATAAATGAAACCTTTTACTTATTTTTAAATCACCATATCATATTTACCTGGTTTTGGGTTGAACCCTAAATCCGAAATTGGTGATTAATTTGTTGATAGATGTTAGATTCATGGATTATATGATGTTATAACTCCTGCTCTTCATTGAATCAATTTAAAATTGGTTTTGATTAAGGCTTGGCTGAGATGTTAAGTTTCAAGCTCTATTAATGATGAAATTTTCAATCTAGTAGTTCTAATGAGATGTGGAGTGTTGGATTAACCTCTAAAACACTATGAGATTATTAAATCATCCTTAAATGATTTCAATCTAAAAATTAATGGTGAAAGTGGATGATTCAAACTTTAGGTTCATGTATGAGTTGTACTTTGGCTATGATAAGTTGTACCGTAGCCTCTAGTAATAGATTTGGAGTCAAATATGGAATTAGTATATGTTGAATGATTAAACCTATGAAATCTATGATTTAAATCAAACATCTTGTGATCTTGAGTGTTGCTTGTACATTGGTAACATTGGAATGAACTAATTGAAGCAACCTCTAATGGATCTAGATTGGAAGGGATTTCATAGATGGAATCCCCAATTCTATTTCATAGATTCCAATGACTTAAGCTCAATGATTTTGATTTAAACATATATGATTATTGTTGAGGGAATTATGTATGGAGTAAGAGCTTAGATTAGTCATTGTTGGTGAATTGATCATTAGAAACTAATAATTATGCCGCGAGGCCTTATCCATTTGTTAATTCGACCCAACTTGAAATTGACTTCGGTTTGCTCCCTTTCACTAATTTAAAGAAGGTTTTGTACCGAGCTGGAATAAATTATTCTCTGAACTCTTAATTGATACGACATGCTATTTTTTCATTCATTCCCTTTCAGGATCAGTCGTGATCTTCCAAACTTTACCGATGGTATGGACGAATCCCTCGCTTCATCTAATGTGTAAAAGATCCTAGCCGCACTTAAAAGCCGAGTACTCTACATTTGTTGGAATAATGATGTTCACATAAGCATCCCTAAAGCTTATGTGACCTCTAAAGGTCTCAATGATTAATTCATCATAAGGAAATGACTTAATTGAGTCCATATGCTGTTAATAACCCTTGTTTAGTCCATATGAGTCATTTGGTAGCCATCTGAGGCCATTTATGCAAAGTACATTGCCTAAATTAGAAAAACTGCACAATCTGAAAACCTGCAAATTCCACATGCCCCGTGTGGAATCCCAAGACAATTTCACACGCCATGTGTGAAATCATCTATGAATATTTTGCAACGTTTTGAGAAATGATGCTTTCAACCTCGGATTGCTTCTAATTTTAAATATAAGCTTATAGGATGGACAATAGGTAGTGATTAAGAGGTGTAAATAACTTGGATTTCATTAACAGTGAGTAGTATCGAATAAATGTTCCATAACAAGAATTTGATGTTTTTATAATGAGATTGAGTTAAAGAATTTTTACAATTACTTGCTATGTGTTACCTATATTCTCATTTACTTGTGCATTGCATGCAAATGATTTTTATGGAGTTTGATAAAGAGAAAATAGTTAATTTGTTTTGGGAAGAGTTTTGGCATCAACACTTATGTATTCATGTATGATTGGGAAATGACTTGTATGTCCCTCCAAAGTCAATGGAAAACAAGATTAAGATATTCCCCAAGAGGGTAGTGTGATATTGTAGACACGCCCCACTTGTGCGTTGTACGGGACCGATAATTTGATAGCTCACCCATACCCATTACGAGACTAAGAGAAACGAGAGAAGTCGTGACATAGGGTGCTATGTGCTAAGTATGTCATAGTCTTCAATGATATCAAAACGAGAAACTATGAATGAGATTATGTGATGAACGTGAATGGGTGTAATTGCATATTGCATTGCATTCTCTTTATTTTTTATGCATTTAAATGGTTACAACTTTTAAATGAATTGAAGAACTATGAGTTATGAGTTTCAAAGATTTTGGAGGATTTGATTTATGAGTTAAAACCAATGTTGTAAAAACGCTCGACGTTAGTTAGTCGGTGGACTGGGGTTAAAAGATTAATCGGCTAGGCGGTGATTAATCGGAGAACATAAATTGCTATTTTGTTGAATTTTAAAAAATTAAACATGACTAATATCATAACAATGTTCGTAATATCATAACATAATAGGTTAATATGATTAATACAACACTTCTCATTCCTCAAATAGTTTCTATTGGGATATAATTTCTTCAAAGTGTTAAAATTTCATCGTTTTCTACTAGTTCACTCATTGTGTGGACAAGGATTAATCGTTAGGCGCCCTCTAGTCGGACGGGTAGCGCCTAGTTGGGATTTATGTAACACCGGTTAAAATAGATTTTGGGGAATTCACCATAGGTCAAGATTAATTTATTTTTTTACTACATGCGTGATGAAGTCCCGGTATTACTCAACTTTTGAAATATTAGGACCGAACTTAATTCGTTGCTAAGCTTTGTATTCATTGGTTCCTTCTGTCGGTTTTGTGATGGTTCCATCAATCAAGTCGAGCTTATTTTTAGCCAGGAGAATGTCTTTCATCTTCGTGGACCAGTCGGCATAATTATTGTCACTAAGGTTTTCATTGACATGTATTTGTCGTGGATAATCGGGGTGGATGTAGAAAGGTGAATTCGGATCACATGAAGGGTTTGTATATGCGCCGCAACCACTGATTGTAGTATCACCCACCATTGTTTTAGTAGGATACGCGTCATTGTTTTAGTAGGATGTGATATCCTTCTCTGATACCATATAAAAATTTGAAGAATAAAAATTAACTTCAAAAATTATGTTTCTATCACTCGAGGGTTATATAGGAACCCAATTAGAATTGGAAGCAAGGTTGTCAAAATCGAGATCTTAGTTAAAATCGTTTTACGTTTTGCAAGATCGTGATCGTAAGATCCTACCAAAATGAACTCATATTCAAATTTTCTCGCAAGAGAATATAATCAACTTTAACTTCTTAAGCATCACCCATACTTTTTGTTGATACAAAACAAAATGAACTCATATACAAAGGGATTATTATGGATATGCAATGCCTAACTCGAGATGAATTGATAAAATAGTGATGCTCTAAAAGACTTCTTTCAACTTGTGACACTAGATTTCAAGTTGAATAAACGGATTTTTGATACCTGACTATATAATAAAACTAAAGAGGTGAGATCGTTTTTCACTTATAGGATCTTAAAATCGTAATATTGTAAGATCAAAATCGAGATTTTAATAACCTTGATCGGAAGCAAAAACGAATTCTAGACACGCTATAAAAGAATAACACCTAAGGATAAGAAAGGATAAGGATAAACATAGGGTAAATTACACGAACCGTCCCTCGTCCACATGCCCAAAAGCATGTTTAGTCCCTATTTTCAAAAATTAACTCGGATCGTCCCTGTATTATTATTTTTTCACTTCGGTAGTCCCTATGGACATAGAATGACTATTATGCCCTTAATAATTTATTTTTAATTTTCTTTTCTTTATTTATCATTTTTAGATTAAAAAAAAATATATCCACAAACACACCCAAGCCCCCCCTCCTCTCCCTTTCACTTTCTAGATTTCTTCTACCCATTCGTCGTCTTCGTCTTTCTCATTTTTTTTCTTTGAAGCTGGTGGAAGAAGACCAACATCGTCGGAGCCGCCATCACCGGAGAAGAAAGAATATTGACATCTTCGGAGCAAAAAGGAAGAACATATATGCTATTCTGCCTCCATATTCGTTCGAAACCCTAGCTCCTCCTCCATCTCCATTCAAAATCCAGTGAATCAGAGGTATGTCCTGTCGAAGTCTTACCAGAGCTTTAGATGTTCAATAAAAGGCAATGTTTAAGGAGATGTTTTCCGTTCCCCAGCTTCCTCTACCTTTGTCTTCCTCGTTCTCAGCCACTCTCGAGTCCGGCGAAACCAAAATTTGACCTTAACCTCTTTCCCTAAATCAGATAAACAACACGTGAAGTCGTTTTTCATCCCTTTCAAAGCCTTAAGGGGTCTTTTTCTCGGTAAGCCTTGATTCTTCCTTCCCGATTTTCCATGATTCTTCCTTCCATCATTACAAGCCTTCTTCCTTATGCTACCAATCCTTTGCAGGTGGGTTTTCTGATGGAGCCTGTTGGGGGGTTTTATTAAAACGATTTTTAGGGATTTTGTTCAAACGATTTCTGGGTTTTCTATGTTTAGATTCTGAGTATTTTTTGTGTCAGATTTGGAGATATGGGTTTGGATTTGTGCAAATGACTTTCAAAAAATATTTCTTGTATCTGGTCGGAGATGCAGGTTTCTAAAAATCGCCGGTGAAATTTGAGGAAGAGATTCAGTTTCATAGGAATGAAGGAGACGAGGTTGAGGGTGGGGTGGGGCCGTATTTTTTTCTTTTAAAATTAAAAATAATAATAATAACATTAAATTAATTGAAAAAAAACACATAAAGGGCATTACGGTCATTTCAAATCTGTCATGGACTAAAATCGCAACAAAACCGTATATCAGGGACGAAACGTGCAAGTTTTAAACAGACAATGGACGGTCCGAGTTAATTTTTTAAAATAGGGACTAAACATGCTTTTGGGCATGTGCACGAGTGACGATTCGTGTAATTTACCCATAAACATAACTTAAATACTAATTATCTAATTAACGTGATATTTCCTTTAAATAACATATATTCTGATCTTGGTAAATGACTATTTGCATCTCAAAAATCTAAAATATATTTTTAAAATACTAGCTAGTCTTTGTATATTAGTTTTTGACAACTCGTATATCTCGATTAAAGAAGAGATCTGGATGTACTACCTTTTAGTGTCTTCCTCACAAAATCTTTTAATAGATCAATAGATTCTTAGATTCAGTTCACTCATAGATACATGCATACATACAAACAAAGCTATAGAACCTCGGTAAAAACCACACTTCTGTCTATTTAATGTCAGGTAATTTTCAAATCCTTTTTAAATGGTTTTGAGGTTCCATTTTGATTCTAATGTCGTGCCTTCGCATTGTAGTAAGCATCTAAAGAAATGAGCTCATCAAGTGGGATCTTAGGTTCAGTTCAGCTGAATTCCATCAGCCAGCATCATCAAATTCACATTCCTAGTGCTTCACACAGCAACTCACCACAACCACGACCATTAAACCTACCTCGTCAAGATCTACTCGATGGTAGGTCCTTCTCGGCATCATGTGATCTTGAGATTCATATGAAGCTTTACATTACATCATTGGTTGAATAATTCTCTAAATCATCATTCTAACTTTATTATGCAGAAGGTCAAGCTTCACTTAATTAGTCTCATGGTGTTTCTAAAGTAAATAACCTCAAAAAATAGGCTATTACAATTTCCTTACCTTCCTTAGATCATCAAAAAAACCAATATCATGAATTTATATATGCAAAATGCTGTCAATATGCACTAGTGCGCCGCCACATTGCATGCACATGGCCACTCTAGTGCATTGACCGATCTGTTTTCATTGCATTAAAATATATTTATTATGGAGAGACTAGCTAGAGTTTATATAGTTGCATATTAATCATTTTGAAAATAAAACTACTTATTGTTGTAAAAATTGAGTATAGCTTCATTTTATGATTAAACAGATGGAAGAAGAGAAGATTTCCTGTTTTCCCCTCTACAAAGCATCAATGGCAGGTGATTGGGAAAATGCTAAAGACATTTTGGAGAAACGTAAAGAGATGGTAAGGTTTAGCATCAACAGAAACAATGAAACAGCACTTCACGTTGCTGTGTATAGAGGAAACACCTTTTTTGTGGAAAATCTAGTGAGATTGATGGAAAACGAGGACTTGGAGCTTCGGAATAGCAGTTCCAACACTGCTCTATGTTTAGCAGCTGTAGCTGGACATGTTAAAGTGGCTGAGATTCTGGTTAACAAGCACAAGGCCTTGCTCGATATTGTTAGGTAAAATATGAAAGGTTGAAAACATGTGGCTATGCATGTGAAATAAAAGAATCAATTGTTGGACGGCTAATGTGAATGGAAGGAAATTCAACGTCAACATTTGCGGCTTTCACATTTGAGTACTATTGTCACGACGACTCAACATTTGCGGCTTTCACATTTGAGTACTATTGTTACGACGACTCAATTTCATGTGCAAATTGCAGCTCTCTCACCTATATATATGCATGTATGTTTTGCATATTTTGTGTGCAAAAACTTGAGAGAACATCAAGTGTAGAGTGTCAAGCCAATTGTAATCTTGTGAGTTTTAATAAAATTCTCTAGTTGCAGCCCGTGGATGTAGGATTTGCACCGAATCCGAACCACATAAAATCCTTGTGTTCTTCTTGCTTTATTTTCGTGAGTTTGGGTGTGTGTGATAGTGTGTTTCCGCTGCGTGTACCCGGTCCGGTTCCTAACAACTGGTATCAGAGCCAGATTAGCGAGGTTTGGAGGGTACAATCATTTTTTTTATCACGCACGAGTGTACCTGATTTGTATCTTGTTTGTCGTAATGGCTGAAGACAAGGTTGTAATCGAAAAGTTCAACGGTTCTGAATTTAGCTGGTGGAAAATGCAACTAGAAGCATTGCTATGTCAGAAAGACTTGGACGTGGTACTCGGAGACAAACCGGAGAAAATGGAAAAAGCTGCTGAAGATGCGTGGAACTCAAAGGACAAGAAAGCCAAGGCGGTTATTACATTGTCGTTGACGAAGAGCGTTGCTTTCAACATCATGAATGTAACCACGGCACGTGGTATGATGGAGGCTCTGTCAAATATGTATGAGAAACCATCGGCGGCTAACAAGGTGTTCTTGATGAAGGAGCTGTTCACTACAAGGATGAATGAGGAAGGCTCAGTTACGGTTCACATTAACAATCTAAATTCAATTCTGTCCAGATTATCATCTGTGGGAATTAAATTTGATAACGAGACTCAAGCATCACTGCTACTAGCTTCTCTACCTGATAGCTAGTCCGGAACAGTTACTGCTGTTACGAGTTCCGTGGGGACCAGTGGTATGACTTTTGAAGGGGTTAGAGATTTGGTTCTAGGCGAGGATATCAGACGCAAGAATCAAGGTGGATCTTCCTCTTCTGATTTATTAAATGTCAGAAGAGGTAGAGGGAATAGCAGGAATAATGGAAGCAGTGGGAGTCGGGGAAGAAGTTCATCTAGAACTAAGAAGAATGTGAAGTGCTGGAACTGCCAGGAGGTGGGACATGTTAAGAGTCAATGTCCAAAGAAAGAATTGAACATTGCCGGTGCTGAGAGTGTGTCTGAGGATGATGCATTGATACTCAGTATGGAAAGTTCTGTAGACTCTTGGGTCATGGATTCAGGGGCTTCGTTTCACGCCATGGACAACGGGGAAACGATGGTGAATCTAAAAGAAGGAGATTTTGGAAAGGTACGTTTGGCAAATGACGAGATGCTTCAGGTAACGGGCATGGGAGATATTGATTTGGTTACTTCATTGGGAACTACACGGAGCCTGAAGGATGTCAGGGTGATTCCGGAGCTGAAGAAGAAATTGATTTCTATTGGTCAGCTGGATAAACAAGGACTGGAAGTAAGGTTTGGTGGTGGTAAATGGAGGGTGATTAATGATAATCTAGTGATTGCTCATGGTATGAAGTGTGGGTCATTGTATATGGTTGAGGTATCTGCTGAGGGAAGTATGACCGTCCCTGTTAAGCAAGACAAAATCCGGTTCGCTAAATCTACGGCTAAGAGAGTTCATTTTGCAAACATGAATTCTGGAGCCAAGGGGATGTTAGCTGAACGAGTCAGAAATTCTAAACCATTCAGGGGATTCTGTGACAGTGGGAGCACGGGGTGTGTTTCGGGTACAGTTACAAAGAGCCGTTGGGTTTTTTGAAGACTAAGACTGAAAAAGTCTCTCCTGTTGAAAGTTTGCAAAGTTGGGAGAGTGTTAGTGGTCCTCGGTGTATCTCTGGATCTGGTGGAGTGTCCAAACCGGTTGAGACAGAGGATGAGTCGGTGGTGGGATTAGCCACGACTGAGTTGGAGCTAGTGGGAGCTTCAACTGTCCCTTCTAGTACTTGAAGATGAGGGGCGGCTGCAATTAGAGAAATGGGACTAAGTTTAGCTTGTTCTTAGGAACTGGAGGCTTGGAAGACTTGGTTGTTTTAAGATTACTGGAGTTGGATGACAGAGACGGACCATGTTGTTCAAACTTTCAAGTGGGAGATTGTTAGGTAAAATATGAAAGGTTGAAAACATGTGGCTATGCATGTGAAATAAAAGAATCAATTGTTGGACGGCTAATGTGAATGGAAGGAAATTCAACGTCAACATTTGCGGCTTTCACATTTGAGTACTATTGTCACGACGACTCAACATTTGCGGCTTTCACATTTGAGTACTATTGTTACGACGACTCAATTTCATGTGCAAATTGCAGCTCTCTCACCTATATATATGCATGTATGTTTTGCATATTTTGTGTGCAAAAACTTGAGAGAACATCAAGTGTAGAGTGTCAAGCCAATTGTAATCTTGTGAGTTTTAATAAAATTCTCTAGTTGCAGCCCGTGGATGTAGGATTTGCACCGAATCCGAACCACGTAAAATCCTTGTGTTCTTCTTGCTTTATTTTCGTGAGTTTGTGTGTGTGTGATAGTGTGTTTCCGCTGCGTGTACCCGGTCCGGTTCCTAACAAATATCACTGGTAGTCAAGAAAAAATGCCACTGTACATGGCAGCTTTATCTGGAAAGAAAGATATGGTGAAGTATCTGTATGAAAATTCCGAAAGAATGACTAGCGGTCTTTGGACAGATGAGTGTCGGGGTGGTGTTCTCTTGGCATGTGTTGAGGCAGGGCTATTTGGTAAGTATATATATGCATGTTATTCTCTTAATTAATGTCTATATCAGAAACTGGGTATATTATATCTTTGCCAAATGCATCTTGGTAAGTAGTCAAGCTTTCATCCGCAACTTATTGAGCTGATTCATTCAAGATCTATTTCTAAACGAGATTTACCCAAGTTCATATGTATAAAAATCATTTTGAAGATCCTCATGTAATTTATTTAGCCATAGTCTTTTCTCTTTGGCCTCTTCTTTCTCCCTAAAAACTAGAAAGATTTTATTTCCGGTTTGAAAAATTAAATATTATTCTACCTTTTCTTCATACCAATCCTCCTATCACTTTTAGATGATGACAAGTGTAATAAAAATTTATTAATTTTATTAAATATGAAAAATATCACAATCTTAAATGTGTAGGAAGATGATAGGAAGAAAAAAGGAAGAGATATATAATTCCCATTATTTTGACATGGTAGTAGTTCACATTGCGCTACCCATTATAGTACCAACAGAATCCGGTTATTACTATCATGATCAAGCCTATAATATTTTTTGAACGGCGAAGCCTATAATTATATTTGGTTGCCAATAATTCATGTGTTAATTTGATTTCCTGGTTGTTGATTCAATATTCCGTAGTTGCATTGGAGAAGAATAATTGCTTTTTCTGTTTCGAATTAACTAGATATCAACTACTTGTAGATGTTGCGCTACAAATAGTGAAAGATCGTCCAGAACTTGTTGAGAGCGAAAGAAGTCTACTTGGAGTTCTAGCTCATAACCCTGGCGCATTTAGGAAACAGTATAACTTGATCGAAAAATTTGGTAAGAATATCTACTCCCTGATTTAACTTTCTATGTAATCATCTCGCTGATGGAATGAATATCTATTTTTGTGTGTGTTTTGGGAAAAAATAATCGGTATTTAACTACTTATAAGCTAAACAACACATAAGCACATGCATCCATAGTGCATTGAACTTCATTGCATCATTATTCTACATTCGATACAACTCTATCATTTTTTTTCTTATAATGCATTGAACTCTAGAAGGTTAAATGGAACATTATAAAAACTAATTTTATAATATTTATTTAAAAATTAGAGAACATTCATTTTTCTCTTTGAAGAGTTAAGTAGCCATTGGACTCCAAATCTACTGAATGTCGATATGAGTATATGACACTTTATAATGAAAGAGTTGCATCAATTGGATGACAATTAGATTTGCCACTTATCAAATTCTCCCATTGCACTCATAATTATGGATGCTCTTTGGATTTTCAGCGACAACCTAGGGTTCGTACACACACACACACATACACACACACACACACACAGAGAGAGAGAGAGAGAGAGAGAGAGAGAGAGAGAGAGAGAGACTACCATATTAAAGAGTGATATTTCACATAACTGAAGATTAGATTATCGATAATACAAATACATCTTACAACAATAGGAACTAATAATCACAGCAGTTTTGCAAGTCTCGTACCTACAATATTTGACACAAAGAATATGATTAGTAGAGAATATATACCGACAAAAATTGCAATGTACTTACCGTTTATAGAATAGAGAGTCTATCGTTTGAAATGATTTCTATTCTAGTGATTAAGGGGATCAACTGATAAACATCAAAGGATAGGACTCTCAAGAGAGTCTCTCGTCAAGACTTTAGCATATCAAGAGTCTATTCATAATGATAATTAATCAAAATCTCCTACAGGTCTCATAACTTAATATAAATTATCACTTATAACAAGTCAACAATAACATACAAAATAATGATGAATAAATTGGTTAGACCATCTTTATGGTTAAAATCTGTATCTTTATAAATCTTATAAAAAGAGGTCATTCAAATAAATATGGTTTAAAATAAATCATTTATCTTGAATCATGCCCATTTGAAACCTCCATAACTTTTCATTTTATGGTATTCAATGGATTGGTTAATTAAAATATTTTTACTACATAACTCTTACAACTTTCAACTTATGCTAATTAATTCATTAGTTTATCAAAATATTTGACATATATAAGAACATTATTTTTATTTTAGGTTACTCACACTTACTTCTTTTCTCCTATCGTTATTGTTATCTAAAGTCCATGAAAATAGAGAAGTACGTAAACATAGAGGGAATTACAAAGTAAAAGATTACTACAAGTGACTTAACATATTGTATATGTAAGTGTATACTTTATTTGTATGTAACCTTTTACTGTTAATATCCATATATAATTTGATATTTCTTTATTATTTCAACTTCTTTTTCCTTTATATTTTCTTTAAATTTCACGAAAATGTTTCTGATTGTACACTTAAAACCAAAAGAAAATGATGATACATTTGAATTATTTTTTTAGAATTTGTTTTATGTAAGACTGTGGTATATTTTTATTGTATACACCATTTCAACTTATAACTTTCTACGTACATTAATAACTTTTGTGTAGAGATAGAACTTCATTAAGTCTTGACTTTTTTTTAGATTATGATAATCATCACCGATACAAAAAATATGTTATACTCATTTTTCTAGCCTCTGATTTTTTTTTTCCGATTATATTTCCTAGATCATGACATACTTTAAGAAAGAGTGTTTATAGGTAATAATAAATGAAACAATATGGTCATTCTAAATTTATATATATATATATATATATATATATATATATATTCATTAACTAATGACTTAATTAGCGTAATTTGATAAGTTGTAAAAGTTATGTAGTAAAAATATTACTAATCCATTAAATTCCATAGATGAAAATTGTGGGGGTTTAAAATGATTATTGTTGAAAAAAATTGAATAAACAAACAAATGAGGTGATCTTAAATTAATTGAGTTTAAAAATACTTAAAAATAATATTTAATCAAAACTTATACAAAAAAAATTGTGTGCAATCTACGGATAGAGAATATTGTTGAATATAAGTATTATTATATAAGTGCTAAATGTCAAATATTTTAATAAACATCTCTTTTATCATTTAGTTATATTTAACAATTTGTATATATTTCTATATTTTTGACAATATAATTTTCTTCCTGCACAACACAGATGTTCGACTAGTGTATTATAAATTCCAGCATGAAAAAGGAAAGTTGTGCCATGTTATTTAATAAATTTAACCAGATATCATTCGTTAGTCTATTCTATTGGCACTAAAGATTTTTCTTGTCGTACGTGTTATTGAGAAGTATCACTCATTTACTAACTTGTATCTTCTAATGTGAACCCCCCATGTGTTCACACATTTTATTTCATTTAAGTACTTTCATGCAAAATTCACTCATAGCCAACTATTCAAAGTAAATAATATCATCCACTTAATTGGTTTCTTAGTTTTTCTACGCGATGGATATGACGGACTTGTTAACGAGGGAAATCAAGCCATGGAGTTGCTTAGAATCATTTGGGGACATATTTTGAAATTACCCAAGACTAAAATTGATGACATACTAAGAGGGCCTCCTGACCAGATTATGGGTGATAAATATTCCTCGAGGGTACTATTTGCAGCTGCACAAATGGGAAACACGGCATTTATAGTTGAGCTAATACGTCAATATCCAGAGCAAGTACTAGCACTAAATGATAACAAGCAAAGTATATTTCACATTGCTATTACATATCGATATAGGGGTATCTACTCTTTATTGCATGATATAGGCTCAATGAAGGAATCAATAGTTGATCTTGAAGACGAAAATGGTAATAATATGTTGCATTTAGTCGGGATCCTCAGTGAGACAGGAAGGAGTTATCTATTGAAGGACATTCCAGGCCCAACTTCACAACTGCTAGAAGATCTAGCATGGTTTCAGGTGCATATTTCTTTATTTTGATTTTGTTCTTCATCGAATTATGTAAAAGAGGACTATATTTTTTTTCCTTTAGTTTCTTTCAACAAAATGTTGAAGGTTCAAATCCTAAAACAATATCTTTTATAAATTGATCATGATTTTGTAATCTATATATGTGTTTACAGAACGTGTGGACTATACTCCCAGAAGAACAAAGCTGGCCTAAGTCCACGTGACTTATTCAACAAGAATCATAAAGAGCTAGTTGCCAGAGGTGTGGAGTGGACTAAAAAGATATCGTCTGAATTAATGGTGGTTGCAGCACTTATAGCAACCATAAGTTTTGCAGCTTGTATTACATTTGTTGGTGGATACAACCAAGACACGGGTAAGCCTGTGTTCACTGAAAACAAGCATCTTAATGCCATTCTTCTAGAGAATGGCATGTCTTTTATATTGGCTTCCACTTCAATCTTCTTTTTCTTATCCATCATTAGCTCTCACTATACTGAAACTGCTTTGTTTAGAGCATTAATCATTAAGCTCGTAGGCGCTATGACATTTCTTTGCGAGTCGATCTTGTTTGTGATACTTTCTTTCTCAGACAACTTCGGTTTACTCTTCCCACAAAAGTATCTACTGTCCCAATATCTTTTGACAACATTCTCGTACATGGTCTGTTTTCTATTTATCTACTGGGTGATTAGCCAATATTGGTTTCTTGTGATTATCATATTCGATGATACGTTTCGTCCTCCTAAAAGAATCTTGTTTTAGATTTATCACTACATGCCTCTTTCAACCATAAATCTCACTTTAATTATGAGCTAACTTCTGAAGACTATTTATTCAGATTTGGTGATTTTTATATGTATGGTTAATTATACAACTTTTTGAAGACATACGTAATTACATTACATTTTTTTCTGTATTGATACCATGAGGTGAAATATTGTAATAATATGATTCGATTTGATACATGTTGTTAATGTTTTTTCTCTCTCGCTATTTATTATAGAGTAGGATCTAAAGAAATTCACAATTAAAATAAAAACACTTGAAATAGACATTAATACATGAACTCGAGCTCCGACGACGTTAAAAGTTATGGGCTAGCCATATCTCTCTTCGGATAACATTAGGTGATGTTTGGTTTTTAAGAGACAAAACGTGTGCAGTGCAGTGCATGTCATATCTGTAACAGAAAAGATGAACCAAACATCTACCATCTGCAAGAAAAATATTGCTTTTTAAATTCAGACGGCTAAATAAACTGAAATTTAAATAAAATGATTTTTTATATAACCAATAAAAAATTACAATATCATTGGACAAAAAAGACATGTTTATATATTTTGAGTTTTTTTAACAACAACACAAAGACTATATATTTGGAGCTATATTTTATTGGTAGATAAATAACCAATAAAAAATACAATGATCTTTTTGACAAAAATTAACATAAATAACCAATTAAAATTACAAAGTAAGTTACCTATTTTTGTAAAAAGTAGTAAAGTTCATTGTATAATGAAAGAGTATACGAATCGTATATTTGATTGATCGATAACATATATAGCCAAAGTACTAACAACTATGAAACCTATACTAGGAAAGAATATAGGGAGATTCCAACTGTTGTTTGACTAATTATTTATAATACAATAACTTAAATATACAAAAGATACATATGTATCTTATTCCTTAATACACCAAGCCTTTGGTAGGGACCACGTGTCAACAATTTGGTTAGAGCATTAGCTAGTTGATCAAACGAATTGATGTGACGAACATGCAAGGAACCATGATCAGTGACCTTTTCACATACAAAATAATAATCCAATGTAATGTGCTTCATGCGTGAGTGGTAAACTGGGTTGGCACGGGAATATGTAGCTCTTGTATTGTCACAATATAAAATGGGTTGATGCTTGGAAGGAATGCCCATATCAGTTACAAGATTTTGACAAATGCTACTTCATATGTTGCATTAGCAAGGGCTTTGTATTCAACATGGAGGATCTGGAGACAAATTTTTGATGAGTTGACCTCCATATTATAATGTTAGATCCAATATAGAGTAGATATGCAGTAGTTTAACGTCCTCCACATTCGATTCCAATCCAATCGGAGTCAGAGAACGCAGTGAGATCCATAGAAGTGTTGCGACTGAGAAGTAGACCATGATGAATTATACCTTTTAAGTATCGCATAACTCGTTTTAACGATTGCCAATGGGTCTCAGATGGGGAGTGCATGAACTGTGATAGTTTGTTGACAACAAAGGATATGTATGCTCTTGTGAAGGCGAGATATTGTAGCGGACCAACTAGTTTCCGGTAAGGTGTAGCATCAATACTGGTAAACCCATCTTGCAATTTGAGAGTAACTGAGGGGTTCAATAGGGTGGCTACCTCCTTTGCTCAATCCATGTGAAAAATGGTTAATAGGTCTTGAATATGATGATGTTGGGAAAGAAATAAACCATTGAGAGTAGGTATGACTTCAACTCCTAGGAAGCGGTGAAGAGGACCGAGGTCTTTAATGGAGAATCTGGTGGCTAAACTGGTGACAAAGTTATCGAGAAAGGAGGTTTTTTTACCTGTAACAACGAATTCATCGACATAGACTAGGAGGCAGCTGAGAATATTGTTGTGATTGTAGATAAAGAGAGATAGATCTGCTTGAGATTTACGAAAACCAACATAGAGTATAAAGGTGGTGAGTTCAATGTACTAAGCTCGTGGTGCTTGCTTGAGGCCATGCAGAGATTTTTGAGTTTGAAAACATGTGTGGGAAGTTGACAATTAACAAAGCCAGGAGGTTGGGACATGAAAACTTCTTCATGTAGAGTACCATAAAGAAGGCATTGTTAACGTCTAGTTGTCGTAGTGGCCAATTTTATGAAAGGGCAATGGAAAGTACCGTACGGATGGTTACTGGTTTGGTAACGGGGCTAAAAGTGTCAAAATAATCTTTGCCATACTCTTGAATGAATCCTTTGGCGACCAGACGAAATTTATATTTCTAGTAGTGTCATCGGGTTTTCGTTTGACTCGAAAGATCCATTTGCATCTAATTGGTGAGTGAGAGGATTTTGGAACTAGCTCCCATGTTCCATTAACATTGAAATCTTGATCCCAGTGTGGATCTTTTAGCGCTTGTGTGTGGGTAGTGGGTTTGGTAGAAGGTGGTATCGGGTGTAGTGTAGTATTATTGATGAAGGATGAGTTAAAGTATTTGGGATTAAGTTTGCGATGGCGGTTTGGAGGTAGCAGTTGGGGTTGGGGTGAAGTATTAACTTGTTATAATGATGGAGGGATTATGTTTGAGGATACAACAAAGGAAAAAATAGATGAGGGAGAGGTGTTCGTGGGTGTTGATGTTGTTCTATGAGTGTTGTCATTATGAATGGGTGATGTATCATTGTTATCATTGTGGATGGGTGGTGAGGTTATGGGTGTAGAGGGTTCGATAATAATAGGTGGAGGGGTAGTTTCGGGTATTGTGTTTGATTCCACGGTGGGATTTAGAGGTGAGGTGAGAAAGCTATAAGGAGTTTGGAAGGGGTATGTTTTGTGATAGTTTATTAGAAGGAAATTAATCTGATTGTTGATGTTTCCGATTATATGATTTTCAAAGTATGTATCATGTGCTTTATAAAGTATCCGCTTAAATAGTGAAAATTCTAAAAACTCTTTCTCCGACAATCTCGGAGCTCTTCCCCGACGGGATCAAACGCCAGGCTACAAGTCATCACCGCTGATTCAATTCTTCTTATTTATCCTTTCCGATTGAGTTTCTTTTGGTGACTGACGCAATGTCTTGTTTTGACTCTCGCTGGGTACCAAAAAGAATTAGGGATGGATCAAGAATCGAAAATACCAGGAGAATTCTAGGGTCCATAGAAATGATGCTAAGCGAAATCGTAGTAATGTAAGTCTGGGAACCCAATCTTTTTATGTAACCAATTTTCCAGAATCTGTTAGAACGGATGATCTGTGGAGGTCCTGTGCTCGACTAGGAAAAATTGTAGATGTTTTCATCCAATAAAAAATCCAGTTTGGGTAAATGGATCGGTTTTATTAGATTCTTCGGAATTCGTAATGTTGATCAAATGATTAAACATTTAATGTGACGTGTGGTTTGGGTATCGTAAAATGTTTGCTTCTATCCCGCATCTTCGGAAAACGGATACTTCTATTTCAACTCATGTAGTTCAATATAAGGTTGAGAAGAAAGAAAAGCATTTGAATTCGTATGCAAGTGTGTTGAAAGGTACTTCTAAGGAAGTTAAAGGCAAAGAACAGGTGAAGGATTTCATTGAAATTCTTTTTGGAGATTTTATGAGGATGATGGAGATAATGGTTATGCTCATTTTGAAGAGGGTGAAAGTAATTTCTCATTACATGAAAAAGAAGGTTTATCTTTTGATCTGTTTGGTGTTTATGAAACAATAGAAAGAATGGAAAATGAAGAACTAAATGTTGGAAAATTATACAAACCAAGAAAAATTAATTCTTAGGGGCATTTTCGGAATCTACTACAGGAGTGGATGGTGTTCCTGTTCAACAGCATGCTATTAATTCAACCCACATTCATGACAAAATGCCCCATGAAGTTAATGATGAACTTCAGTTTGTGTATCTAATTGTTTCTTCTTCGAAGCCTGCTGATCCAGAACCGATAACAATAGTAACGCTGGTTGCTGATGATGTTGCTCAATATCGTTCCCATGTTGTTTCAGCAGAGAATGCAACACCTTCAGATGAATGTAATCAGATTCATTCTGATTCCCGTTCCTTCCTAGCAACAATGGGTTTTTCAGGAGGATTTGGAAGATTTTCAGGAATTCAGGATTCAGAGGAGGATCTCTCACACCCTATCGGTTTTTCTAATCCGTGTCATTCTAGATTTGGTTGTAATCAATCTTTATTAGGTGATTCTTTTAGTAATTGGTCGTTTTTGTTTGAATTGAAAAAAAAAACTGTTAATGGGAGAATTAATGGGCTATGTTATGGAAGAGTGTTTTGAAAGGGTGAAAGAAATCAATGAAGGTCACAGAGTGAGAAGTAATAATGCATGATTTTTCTTTCATTAAACATTTAAGGAGCAATTTGTATGGATAAAAGGCGATGGGATAGAAGTTTGTGTCATTTACACAAAGTAAACTGTAACATCCCGACTCCCAGGTATAAATTTTAAAGCTTTGTATTCATTTTATTTTGGGAAATCG